CTTGAGGACTTCAGAGATACAGCATATCGACTCATCACATCACTAAAGAATATTTCCAAACGGCAAACTATATGCAAATTAGCAGGCTCAATTAAAAAGCGTTTATGAAATAATTAGCATGTCTAAAAAGGGCAACATTCTGACAAAAAAAAAAAAATCTGGAAGCTGATTACTTACTGTGCAAAATACTAGAGAAGTTATGCTAGATGTATTAGGACGAATTTTATCCTAGGATGTTAAACCCAATGAAATTAAAATTTGATTTATAATGCTTAATTGGCAATGCTCAAACAATCAGGCAGTTCTAATATTTTATCAATAAATATCTACCAGAATTAGAAAGGATTTTTCTACCATGCAACAGCAGTTTAAAAATCCTGAAAGGTAACTACAACCCTGATTTTCTGAAAAGTTTTAGTGAAAATGTCTTCGGGTATTGCCAGAATGTTTGGATCTTTGATCCCCATGTGTCCATATCTCCTTCTGCATTTCATTCTAGTAAAACACTCCTTACTCTTCCAGACCCCTCAGTGACTTTGCTTTGAAGACTGGGATTCTTGATAGTACTTAATACCAAATAATAAAAGAATAACCTGCAATTACATTTCTGTGCCAAAGATTTAAAACAGAGTAACAGAATTAAGCTCCAACGGCTTAAAAAACCTTGAGCACTTCAGTGGTTCCACTAGAGTCAATAGACCTTGCCACAAAAACATTTGTGCTCCAGGGAATGTCTGGATTGGGACCCCAATGTTTCTCAAAGGGTGGGTTGGGGAGGGAGGAAGTGTAAATCCTACTGAATGATATGTATAAAGAGACAGAAATACATAATTAGAAGCCATACTTATTTCTGTCCTCAGAATTACTCTTTGGCTATGGGCAAAGAATTCTGAGAATGTATCAGCAAAATAGTGTCTAAAAATTTTACAGTCCTAGAAAAGTTCCTGATTATATTTCCTGAGAGTAAAAGTGAACATACTGTAAACTTTCATCTATTGAACAATCCAGCAAGTAGCCCACTAGGTAGCCCAACATTTGCTAAGCAAGCAGTCTTAAAAGTTTTCTCCAAGAACTATGATTATTATTCAGCTGATTTTCAACTTGTTTTATTTATGAAATCTACAGAGGTGGATTTTTTTGGTGGTGGTGGTTTTTTTTTAATGGTAAGTGATGCTTTGATACTGGCTACCAAACAAATTAACTCTTTCCAGAAAAACTAGGCTTTATTATGCATTTTTTCTTGCTTCCGTTTACAACCACGCTGAAAAGCACAGACATATTGATGAATCAGTTACACAGTTCTTTTTGACTACAAGTGTGCAGCTCATTTTTCTTGCTGATGGGTTTCAGAAACCAATCAGAAGTCCTCAAAACCCATGATTTTTCAGTATTTATAATAATTTATCAAAATGACCTGCTTTTTAGAGACCATTTCAAACAAGTACATATGATTTATGATATTTAGATGTGTTTAAAATAAATTCCCTGGATATGTAACTTTTTACTGCTTGCATGTTGAGAATAGGTAGGTTGTAAAAGATGTTAAAACACTGGAAAAAGAGTATTGTTTTCTTTTCGTGTGATTTGTCAATGAACAAAACCCAGCAGAACAGCTATTGAAACACTGAATTCCTGAAATGGTTTTGTAGGTTTAACATCAGCGTTTCTATATGATACTATTGTAAATACAGTCAAAAAAATGTGAATAGTTGTTACTACCTGCTAGCCTGTCCTTGGAAATCTGTGCCATATAAAAACATTTTTCCATGTCAAACTTTAAAAAAAAGAAAAAAAAAAGTCTTCTCAGACCTTGGGGCATGTGTCTAATTACATCAGACTTTAACTGGAATGAAATTTACTTATAACATATATTTATCTACCTCAGTTAAATGTTTGAATAGCTGTACTGCTTAGAACTCCTTCAACAGTACTTATCCTCCCCCTGGTCTTTTCAGCATAGTACAGATATGTTTTTCGTCATAGCATTTTCGGCTTCCTTAAGGCTACCAGATTCACTTTCTTTTTGTATTTCTTAGTAAACCTAGATCAGACTTTGTATATAGGCATTAATATGCTTTTCTCCTGATGGAAGTTTTAAGAAACTTGGTCCTAAATAAGCTAACTTAGACAATCATAGTAGTGATTTTGCATTTGATGTGTTCTGCATCGTCTGAGAATCAAAACCTACTCTATAAAAAGCAGAAATAAAATGGCCTCAAAAATCACAGGCAAGTAATAAGAAGAGGAGGCATTAGAAAAATCCAAAATATTCCATATAGAACAACTCGTGACACAAAGCAACAAAGCACTCCAAGAATATGTTTTTTATACACTCAGCATGGTTTTCAGCCGCACCCCATTAGCACACAGATAATTCTGACCATTAGTGCACTTTAAAATAAGCGATTTTATTTTTAACCTATCCTCAAATTTAGTATCGTCTTTTTACTCCTACATCCTTGACATACGCAGAGCTGAGTTACAAAAGCGAGGATGCAGATGCCATTATTCACTGCAAAACATTAACATCTAAAGATTTGTGTGCATCACTCCTCAACTCACAGGCTAGTTTACTGACCCACTCCTGGGCCTAGGCAGGTTGAAATGGATGTTCTGAAGATAATGAGACAGCTACAAAACCTGGAGACACTGACAGCTGTAGCATGCAGGGGTCGATGATTAAGAAAGCAGTATTTCCCAGTCCTTTACAACAAGAACTGTTGACAATGTCACCCTGTTCTGTAGCAGCCTATTCAATATCTTCAAAGGGAACTTCCCAAACTGCTTAAAACCTGGGTTAGGGCAGAAGAAAACTGTAAGTCAGACAGTTTATACAACTACCACAAAAGCACATTTCACCTTGCTTTCTCAATCCCAAACAAAAGCGTAACAGAACACAGCGCAAAATATTTCCATCCTCCCCATTCCCCTGCAATATGTGAAAAAGGAAAAGATCAAGCACAGGGACAAACACACAGTCCATCATCCAAAATACTTCTCGTCCTCTGGATTTTTGGTTATAATTTTAAAAAATTACACTCCCACCACCATAACAAATAAGTAAAAAGGGGTATCTCTGCTGTTAAATTTTCAGAGTATCTATATGGTTGAGCAACAGTTCCTAGTTTGGGAGATAAATGATACAAGGAATGTTCACGTTTTACTTTCTTTAAACTATCTATAAACTCAGCTTTATGAACCAACATTCCTGATCCTAAACATTCAGCAATAAAAGCAGAGCACTTCAAGCAAGGTGTAGCCTAAGATTAATTCAGCTCTGAAATGCGGAACAGAATCAGTGCTCAAGAAAACACCGAACTTTCTGTGGCCTTAAGTGATACACTTAAGAAGAGGAAATGTATCTGTAAATAAGCAAGAGCATTAATAATTGTCTCAGAATGCTGGCACTGAAACTTAAACAGTCTCTCTTCACCTCTTAGTTATTTACTATTAGGATTATATACAAATGCTTACTGAAGTAGTTCCAAGTGTGATGAGTATGTCTCCAGAAAGTGGAGAAGGCAGGGATTAAATTCTTTCAAGTACGATAATTTGTTTTAAAAAAACAGCTTAATGAGAAATAAAGGGGATGATTTTTAATCAAATGAGGCGCAATTATGGATGACAAATATAGAAACGCAGTGACTTAAAAATAGTTCTTGCTGCCATACATTAGAAGGGCATTAAATATCTAGCATCAGAGTTCAGGATTAATAAAGGGGTGGGGTTAAATATTCAGTCCAAAACTCAGGCTTTTCCTGAAGAAAAAGCAGAGATACAGCAGCTACCCAGTCGTTGTCAAAAGATGCCTTTCTTTCAGTTTGAGAGATTCACAATTGTGTGAACGGCCATAATAATTTTTTTCTTAGGGAAAGGGAGAAGGAAATAGTTACCTGCCTTGATCTTCAGAAGGTCTTAGAAAGTGAGGTTCAGAGTACAGTGCAAGATAAGCGTGACCACGGCTAAAGGCTCGAACCCTTGTCCACTAAATCCAGTGGAAGAGTCCAGTTACTTCAGGGTAAGGTTTGGGACATTCCCCACTGGTGGCTTTTGTTTTTGGTTTTCATTGCAAAATGAAATAAACAGAAAGCGATACAGATACTTCTCTGACAGTGAAAGGGACCGATTTCCTTTTTTTCCTTCAGCTTTAAACAGACTGACAAATACAATGAATCCTCACACCGACAGGCATCCATTTATTTCCCCAGTCGTGATGGGGACCCAAATTTTAGTATTGCTCATACACACACCTCGCGAAAACAAAGAATTCCTTTTATCTCATAAAATGTAATGAAGACGCAACAATAGATTTCGTCACCAGTGTTTTAACTAAATACAGCGTTTAATCTTGGAAGAGATTTCAGCCTGTATACCATCTACATAAGACGAAATTCAGTTAAACTCATTCTGAATTATTGTAAAACGTTTCTTAATGTACCGGACAATGAAGAAAATGATGGTATCCTTGAGGGTTATTTTTTTAAAACAGTTTCTGTTGCTTACCACTTTACTAAGCTCACGACGTTTTGAATGAAAGAGGTCACGGTTTCAGTTGCGAACTTCATAAATATCTGGAAAAGCCTTTCACTTTCCCTTCCTCGATAACAAACAAATCGCTATGCCTGCTCTTGGCTTTTCAAACTGTTGAGCCCTCTCTTTTTCAAGTGCCTCCTGCCTGTCTCGGTATATTTTTGATGACCTTCTGGTTTATGTGTGCCCTAAACGGAAGTGCCATCGGTTGCATTGCCTTCGCCGAGTGGCTTTTGTCCGAGTGGGACTTCGAGAGGCTTTGCCGTTTTAAAAAGCAGCGATTGTGTCGTTTTTTTGCACGCTCAGTGGTGCCAAATCATTGCCCTGGAATGACTGCGGGTCTACATGTTTTTACGCTCGTCTTTAAGTAAGAATTGCAGTGATTTTAAAAGTCAAGACAGCTCCTTCCTTCCCTCCGCCCCCGCCACCAGCAAACTGAAGTGAAGCAGCTTTCTAAAACTCCCATTCACCCGTTTGCTTTACAGACTCCAAATTTTGCCCCTTCCACGCTGAGGATTTGGTGCAGGCGCACCCAGATCCTACGGGGCAGCGAGGCATCAGCTCCTCTCCCGAATTCCCTCTTCCAAGGCAGAGTTTCCAAGCGTTGTGCAATCGCCTGGGACACGCAGTCAGCTCCGCGGCGAAGGGGCGGAGGGGAAGGAGCGCGCTATATTCTGAATTTTGAAGCAGAGGTGGCGTATCGGGCAGGGGGGAGGGGGACGCGGGACCAGATGCTAAAATCCTCACCGAAACTACAAACGTTTCTCTCCTTGACTGTAGGAAAGTCTCCCCCCGCCGCCACCACCACCACCACCACCACCACCACCACCTTGATTTCATGCTCTATCACGTGCTGGATTTTCCCTTTTTATTCCGCCCCAACGCCCCCTCCCCCCCCCCCGG